CCCCGCCTCGGCCATTTCCCAGCACACGCTACTCGATCCCTGCAGAAATGATTTTTCCACCCGGTCCTCAGCCCCACCATCACACGCTGTTTATGGCAGCGCAGGGCTATTTAAGTTATAGCAGCCTCTGAGCTGAAGGGCACTGGCAGCATGATATCCTACAGGCCAGGCGTGCGAGGAGCAACAAGCCAGAAGAGAAACCTCCGATAGGCAAAAAAGCACACAGAATAAAGACTGCTGGGGTAAAAATACCTTCAAAAGATGCTGCTGGGCTTTCTTGAGAAAAAATACATTGATTTCAAAATGTGCCCTTTCATCTGTGCCAGAGGCACAGGTAGAATTAAACACTAACAGAGCTTGGAAGCCTGCTGATCTGAAAGAGAATAACACACAGCTAAATAAAACTTTCCCAAAGAACATTTCAAGGTAAAATGGCTCTTTCTACTAACAAGTTGTTGTACTGCCAGCCCCCGGATCAAAAGCAGTGACAGTTACATCAATTGACTTTAGCAAAAATCTAAAATTAGCAAGGAAGCACGATCACTTACAATTTCTCAGAATGTTTAATTAAGGACAAATAACGAGAGGACAATTTTACACAAAATAAGAGTTATTTAAAAGGCTGTAAACGAACAGAATCCATTCGCAAATATAAAGTCAACAGAATAAACACCTCAGGAGCTTTAAGGAACATTTGCCTGTGGTATATAAAATAACTTCTCTCCAAAAGAAGAGTAGTCAAATTGCCAGGTCACTTTCAGGCTTAAGAAAATGAAAAGACTAAGAAGTGTTTAAAAACTTTGCAGTTTGGTAAGCTAACCGACTCAGGAGCTGCATTCACCACAGATACAAGTGAAATTAACCCCTAGGAACATCACATGTTGCTTCTTCACTCAAGTTTTCTCGTTTGGAAACAAAAAAAACCTTGCAAGAAGCATGCATTAATTTTGCTGAAGTGATTAACTGTTTTACTTCTACAGCTGTTCCTCAGGTGCCCTGTCCCCAACAAACAAACCCTCCCCTTTTCCCCCAGCCCCCCCTCCCCTTCAAAGCTTGGGCTCGTAACACAGAGGTGGAAATAAGGATCAATCATCGACGCCTTCTGTCCGGACTTCTGCTCCTTCGGCGCCCACCCCTGGAAGAGACGCAGGGCAGAGCATGGATGCGGGGGCAGTTTATAGATATTTATAGACCACGCGACGGTTTCGGTCCAAGATCAGTGCCTGTTTCACAGCACTTCTCTACCACGCAGACGAGCTGGTCCCTGGCACGCCAAGGTCACGCTGACGACCGTGCGCGACGGTGGCTCAGCCCAAGTTTGCAGCGTTTTTCACAGCAAAGTCAGCCAGCTCCGCCAGAACTAACGTTTGTGCTACCAAACGCTCTGGGGCATTCACCTCCCACCTTCCCCGGATCCACAGGTCTCCAGCCCCGGCCAGGGCTCGTGAACATTGTGACATTTCCACCAGCAGCTCAGCCTCATCCCTGCTCTCCCTTGTCTGCCTCAGCAGGGCAAAGGAGCTGCAGCTGAACCCTTCCTCCCATGCGGCTATCCAGAGAAAACCTCATTCTGGCTTAACACGGTCAAAAAGCACAGACCCTCTTACCTTCTCTTTCCTTTTGGGGGTCCTCTTACAAAACACCAATCCACGCTGATGGGCTGCCCCATTAGCTCCTGGCCGTTCAGCCCCTCCATGGCTGCCTGAGCCTCTTTATAGGTTTCGTACTCAACAAGAGTATATCCCTAAGGGTGGGAGGGAGCAAAAGTAAGTGAGATCCCAGGCAGAGGGGAAGCAGGGAGCCCAGCGAGAGGCTGGACGTTTGAGAAACCCCTCCCTGAGCTTGTCTTGCTGTTCAGGCAGCATTGCGGCACCCGACAGTAGCGCTGGGGAAAAGGAAATTGTGTTCGCGTCCCTATGTGCGGCCGCTGAAGCGGCTGAGATGGTTCAAGGCCAGCCCAACCTGCGCATCCCCTCCTACCTTCAGGTAGCCCGTCCGTCTGTCGAGGTTCAGGTGGATGTTTTTTATCTCGCCGTACTCCGCAAACTTGTCGTGAATGTCCTCTTCAGTGGCCTCCTCGTGAACCCCCGTGACAAACAGAATCCAGCCCTCGACCGCTGCAGCGCACCGGGAAAAGCGGCAATCGTTACACCGAACGCAGGGTGCTCTCCCACCTCTGCGGTGCGAACGTGAGACACCTCAGGAAGGGGCCTCCCACGAGAGCCAGCCCCTGGAGTGGCTGGAAATCCCTGGGCGCGTTGTGGCTAAGCACAACACAGAATGAGCCACACACGGGTGGAAAAGGGAGCTGGCGTCCCAGAGAGCAACCTCTTGGCTTAGCCCAAGACAGAGGCCGGAGAGGCAGGGAAAGGCTCAGCCCCAGCAAGGTCTGAATCCTGATACGCAGCCAAGTAACGGCCCCACGTTTCCCCACCATCTCCCCGAAAACAACACATCGTCTTCCTCCTCTAAAGCGCCCGGAGTCAGGGCTGGGACGGGTGCCTCCTGCAGGTACTCACAGCGCTGTGGGCCTGGCTCATCCCCATCTTGTTCCACGCTGTCGTAATCCTCGCGCACCCTGGCCCTCGAGCCTTCCTCTGGACACGCAACAGAAGGGGAGGAAAGAGAGGTGGGTGACCGCTGCCATCGCTCAGGAGTGCAGTAGGACACAGACAACCTTTAAGGACTCCCCGAGAACGCTGAAACAGCCAGGTTTGAAGCCAGCTCCTCTGTACGGGCAGGACAAGGCCACCGGCCTGCGCACGCAGCCCTGAGAAGTCCTCTCCCTTCTGCGGGAGGGAACAGCAAGGCCAGCCAGATTTGGGTTGTGCTTTGGCAAAGCGATCCTGCTCCCAGCAGACGCTACATTCCTGTACAAAGCTCCTGCTCTGATCCCACTCTCCAAACCGCCCTAATGAAGCCAGCTCCTCTGTACGGGCAGGACAAGGCCACCGGCCTGCGCACGCAGCCCTGAGAAGTCCTCTCCCTTCTGCGGGAGGGAACAGCAAGGCCAGCCAGATTTGGGTTGTGCTTTGGCAAAGCGATCCTGCTCCCAGCAGACGCTACATTCCTGTACAAAGCTCCTGCTCTGATCCCACTCTCCAAACCGCCCTAAACGGGCTCTGAAACGTCACGACACACAAACCGCTGATCCAGCGCACCCAGCAGGAGGGACCTGCCTGCCAGGGACCTCGGCCGAGCGATTCCAGGGTGAGCGTTTAGCTGAAATCGGGAAACCGAGGCCTGAGAGGGGAAGGGGCCGAGAACGCTGGAAAGCAGCGGCCAACGCCAGGGTCCCGCGGGCAGGCGCTGCCCGCCGGAGGGCGGGAAGGAGGGCAGAGCCGTACCGCCGCCGCTCACCTGAGCCGAAGCCTCGGCCCTTCCTCTTCTTGGCCTTCTCCTTCAGCTTGTGGATGCTTTCTGTGAAGGGGAGGGGCGGGGGGGGGGGAAGGGACCCGCCAACGGGGCG